TTGCTGAATGTATCTAGGTGTCATGTCTAGGCAGGAGCAGCTCCATGCAGCCCTTTTAACAAGTTAGTCTAGATGTCTTTTAACACAGATGCAGCTTCCTTTCACTGCATAGTGTCTATAGGTTCTTTGTTGGAAAAATTCTTGTTCTTTCATTATCTTTAAAATACTATGTATATAAACCACATTTATGGAGAGTTGCAAAGTAAACATTGTAGCAAGTAATACAAACGTACTCTTATACTCTAAAATTTTATTTAGTTATGTAACTTCTCACACAGTAAGTAATTTATCTAAAGTTCAAAACATTTTATTCCAGTAGTCCAACTGACATTTATTTTCATCTCGCTGTAGTACAGTGAGTCTAATTAGAACATAAATTTTTGTGTTCTTTCCAACTGATCCCATACCTGAGAACTATTATCTCCCCCACCCCCCATATCGAGCAAAGATGATGTTGTTTGCTGTGATTATATTGTGAAGCTCTTTTGGAAGGTCAATAGTAAACTTTTAATAGAGAAAAAACTCTGGGGGCCAACTCAATACTATCTTAAAGCTGTCTCTCTCTCTCCCCCCCCCCCATACGTGCCCTGGGGCATTGCTATGATTATGTGAATAAAAGTGGTGTTGCACTGATTGCAGTACCAGCAGTTACCTGAAGTTTTCTTATCTATTTTAGCAGTGTTTAAAGGTGTTAAATATCAGCAATTACCTGAATTGTTAGGGGAAAAGCTGTGTGTTCTTTTATGTTTTTGTCTCAGAGAGGAGATTTTCAAGATAGTATGCCAGTTTTTCTCCTACCAATTCTTAACCTTTAATATAGTGTGTGTTAAGACTGTGATCCGAAACACATAGATATGCTGAACTAGCTGGAATTTACTTCTGGATAAGCACAGTTAGGGTTGTGCTCCTAGTAAATTGCTTCTCACATTTGTAGGTTCTGTATATGAAACCAAACCAGTAGCATAATTATCTCTAAAACTGCACAAAAGTGTGTCTCTGAACAGTGAAATTCTTTAGTAAAGTCTTTTGTGGGTAGATAGGTTAGTGGTATTGCCCTGCTTTTTGAAGCGCTTTGAAACATGTTCTTTGTTTTCTAATCTATCACATTTTTCTTGGCTGTGTACAAATGGCTATAATCTCTGGGTTTAGCACTACATAATAAATCTAAACCCGGCTTCCTGGTTGTGGTATGTGTTGCACATCCCTTAGTTATGCTGGGTCACGTGGTGCAGATTAGCATATGCTGCTCTACTGCAAGTCGAGGGATACAGGTCAAGAGGAACACCTACTGCTAAGCTTGTACATATGAGCCGCAGCTTTGAGCCCATGTACAACCCCGTGTAACATGTCGTACTTCGAAGTAGTGTACCAATATGGTTTTCCTGTTTTAAGAGGAATTAGAGTATACCTTTTCTTTGAAGAGAGCAACAGTTACCTTGGCCTCCACTAAAAGGCTGCTGTGCCTCGAACGGAGCTGTTCTTGAGCTTTCTCCTCCCACATACCTTGTATGTTTTGAGTATCGCTGTAATCTTTAAAAGAATAACCTTTGTGCCAATAGAATATTCATGAATGGGGCAATGGAACAAAGTTCATCCGTTGCTATGGGAAGAAAGTGCCAGAGGGTTTTCATTGCTGACTGGAACACCCTGAGGGTACTCAAAAACACAGTGGCAGCTGCTGAGTACTGGCTTTTGTGGCTGATGAATCTAACAACAGCTCTGCTGGATCAGACCAGTGGTCCATCTAGCCCAGAATCCTATCTCACATAGTGGCCAACAACATGTCACAGAGGTCAAGGCCTTCCCTGATGTTGCCTCCTGGTACTGGTATTCAGAGATTTACTGCCTCTGAATGTGGAGGTTCTCTGTAGTCACCATGGCTGGTAGTTGCAGATAGACCTATCCTCCTATTTGAAGTTTATACTGTGGACTTAAGGAAACGCCTTGTAATTTTGTGAAAATCCAAAGATAGGCATTCATAATATTCAAACCTCCTGTATGTTTTACCATGCAACCAGCCGCACTTACAAGTAGTAGATAATATGCCATGTTCCAATAACTAATCAGTGTTCATGTTTTATAATTTTCTAGTCTAATGCACTACATATTGTGTGTGGTGTGTATTTATTTTATTTGTGTTGCACATTAGGTTGAATACATGTTGGTAGCTTTTGACCATGAGAAGAAGAGAGCTCGGTTGTCTTTAATTGGAGAACAAGTTCTTCATACTTTGCAAGAAAAGGGTGAAAGAGTAAATCCTAAGTAAGTAGCAACTGTTCTTAAGTCGTACACAAATTTGCCAGAAACTGTCATATTATTCATAAAGCTTAAGTGTGAGAACATTGTTTTTACATGTGAAAGATCACTGTTGTTGATATACCAGATGTTCAGTTTATTCTTTCACATTAACAAAACATTTGCAATTATATTTTTGCAATAGTTAGGATTTTATGTAGAAACATTGGTAGCTGTCCCCCCCATGCCTTTTAACGTGCACATGAAATTTCTGGGAGAGGTCATCCAGAAGTTTGGGCTGGGTTGTCAGCAGTATGTGGATGATACTCCGCCCTCAGCCCTATCTTGCACTTCTAGCAGAACCTGTGATTAGATGCAGGCAAAAAAAAGAGGCTTATGGGCTATTCTCCAAATCTTTGGCACAAAGACTGCGCTTACCAGTGTTGGCAATATATGAACGTATCTTTATCCCAGAAGCCTGTCTTTCGTTTGACCATGATGCTGATGTCACTGGGTTGGATCCCATGTAATTCATTGCATTGAAGCATGACTTCACTGCCTTCCACTGTAGCCTGAAATGCCCCTCAAAACATTGCTCATGGGTAATGTGCAGGAGCAGCATAGGAGCAGGGAGTTGGAAGACTGCTCTGGTGTATGGTGGGAGTAAATCAGCAAAAATAGCCCCTGGTGCACATGGATCTTTTCCATAGGAAATATATTTAGTAGTAATTATTACCAAATACCTCAGACCAAGCGTGATCCCCCTGGAGAAGGAAATGGCAACCCACTCCAGTACTTTTGCCAAGAAAACCCCATGGACAGTATCAAAAGGCTAAAAGATATGACACCGGAAGATGAGCCCCTCAGGTCAGAAGGTGTCCAATATGCTACTGAGGAAGAGCAGAGGGCAAGTACAAGTAACCCCAGAAAGAGTGAAGCGGCTGGGCCAAAGCCGAAAGGACGCTCAGTTGTGGATGTGTCTGATGGTGAAAGGAAAGTCCGATGCTGCAAAGAACAGTACTACATAGGAACCTGGAATGTAAGATCTATGAATCAAGGTAAGCTTGACGTGGTCAAAAATGAGATGGCAAGACTGAACATCGATATCTTAGGAATCAGTGAACTAAAGTGGACAGGAATGGGCGAATTTAACTCAGAAGACCATTATATCTACTACTGTGGCCAGGAATCTCGTAGAAAAAATGGTGTGGCCTTTATAGTCAACAAGAGAGTGCAAAAGTCAGTACTGGGATACAATCTCAAAAATGACAGAATGATTTCTGTCTGATTCCAAGGTAAACCATTCAACATCACAGTAATCCAAGTCTATGCCCCAACCACTGATGCAGAAGAGGCTGAAGTAGACCGGTTCTATGAAGACCTACAACACCTCCTAGAACTAACACCAAAAAATGATGTCCTCATCATCATAGGGGACTGGAATGCTAAAGTAGGAAGTCAAAAGGTAACCGGAATAACAGACAAGTTTGGCCTTGGAAAGCAAAATGAAGCAGGGCAAAGGTTAACAGAGTTTTGTCAAGAGAACACACTGGTCATAGCGAACACCCTTTTCCAACAACCTAAGAGGCGACTCTACACATGGACATCACCAGATGGGCAACACCGAAATCAGATTGACTATATAATTTGCAGTCAAAGATGGAGAAGCTCTATCCAGTCAGTAAAAACAAGACCTGGAGCTGACTGTGGTTCAGATCATGAGCTACTCATTGCAAAATTCAGACTTAAACTGAAGAAAATTGGGAAAACCACGAGGCCATTCAGGTTTGACCTAGATCGCATCCCTGATGAATATACAGTAGAGGTGAAGAATAGATTCAAGGGTCTGGATTTGATAGATAGAGTGCCTGAAGAACTATGGACAGAGGTTCGTGACATCGTACAGGAGGCAGCAATCACCACCATCCCAAAGAAAAAGAAATGTAAGAAAGCAAAGTGGCTTTCTGATGAGGCTTTACAAATAGCAGAGGAAAGAAGGAAAGCGAAAGGCAAAGGCGAAAAGGAAAGATTTACCCAACTGAACGCAGATTTCCAGAGAACAGCAAGGAGAGATAAGGAGGCCTTCCTGAATGAACAGTGCAAAGTAATAGAAGAAAACAATAGAATGGGAAGGACTAGAGATCTCTTCAAGAAAATTGGAGAAATCAAGGGAGCGTTCCATGCAAAGCTGGCCATGATAAAGGACAAAAACGGTAGGGACCTAACAGAAGCAGAAGAGATTAGGAAAAGATGGCAAGAATACACAGAAGAACTATACAAGAAAGACCTCAATGTCCTTGACAAACACGACGGTATAATCACTGACCTTGAGCCAGACATCCTGGAATGTGAAGTTAAATGGGCCTTAGAAAGCATTGCTAACAACAAAGCTAGTGGAGGTGATGGTATTCCAGCTGAGCTATTCAAAGTCTTAGAAGATGATGCTGTTAAAGTTCTGCACTCCATTTGCCAGCAAATTTGGAAAACGCAACAGTGGCCACAGGATTGGAAAAGATCAGTATACATTCCAATCCCAAAGAAGGGCAATGCCAAGGAATGTTCAAACTATCGCACAATTGCACTCATATCACACGCTAGCAAGGTCATGCTCAAGATCCTACAAGCTAGGCTTCAACAGTACGTGGATAGAGAACTACCAGAAGTACAAGCTGGGTTTCGAAGAGGTAGAGGAACGAGAGATCATATTGCCAACATTCGCTGGATTATGGAGAAAGCAAGAGAGTACCAGAAAAATATCTACTTCTGCTTCATTGACTATGCTAAAGCTTTTGACTGTGTGGATCACAACAAACTATGGCAGGTCCTTAAAGAGATGGGAGTACCAGACCACCTCACATGTCTCTTGAGAAACCTGTATAAGGGCCAAGAAGCGACAGTTAGAACCGGATATGGAACAACTGATTGGTTCAGCATAGGAAAAGGAGTACGACAAGGATGTATACTGTCACCTTGCTTATTTAATATATATGCAGAGTACATCATGCGAAATGCTGGCCTGGATGAATCACAAGCGGGAATTAAGATTGCTGGGGAAAAGATCAACAACCTCAGATATGCAGATGATACCACTCTAATGGCTGAAAGTGAAGAGGATCTAAAGAGCCTCTTGCTCAGAGTAAAAGAGGAGAGCGCAAAAGTGGGCTTGAAGCTCAACATCAAAAAAACTAAGATCATGGCATCCGGCCCCATCACTCCTTGGCAAATAGAAGGGGAAGTCGTGGAAGTGGTGACAGACTTCACGTTCCTGGGATCCCAGATCACCGCAGACTGTGACAGCAGTCATGAAATTAAAAGACGCCTGCTCCTTGGGAGGAAAGCGATGGCGAACCTAAACAGCATGATAAAAAGTAGAGACATCACCCTGCCAACAAAAGTCCGCATGGTCAAAGCAATGGTATTCCCAGTAGTCATGTATGGCTGTGAGAGTTGGACTATAAGGAAGGCCGAGCGCCGAAGAATAGATTCTTTTGAACTATGGTGCTGGAGGAGACTCTTGAGAGTCCCTTGGACTGCAAGGAGATCAAATCAGTCAATCCTCAAAGAAATCAACCCTGACTGTTCCCTGGAAGGCCAGATAATGAAACTGAAGCTCAAATACTTTGGCCACCAAATGAGAAGGGAGCACTCACTGGAGAAGACCCTGATGCTGGGAAAGATTGAAGGTCAAAGAAGACGGGGACGGCAAAGGATGAGATGGTTGGACAGTGTCATCGATGCAACGAACATGAAACTGAGCAAACTTCAGAGGACAGCGGAAGACAGGAGAGCCTGGCGGGATCTAGTCCATGGGGTCGCGAAGAGTCGGACTCGACTGTGCGACTGAACAACAACAACAACAACAGGATCACATGTGAAGCAAAGGAAGGCATAGCAATTCGAGCAAATAACTACAGCTAACAAGGAGCATCTGATAAATAGCATGAAAGAGATTAAACTTCTTCAACCTGTCATTGCATAATTCCTGTTTACATTCATCCACTTACTAACTCATGTTTATAGTACTTCTGTTGTTGTGAAAAGTTAAATAAAAGAGTCTCAAATGTATGTATATATATTTTGCAGTCATCCAACTCTGTGGAGGCCAGAATATGGAAGTTATATGATTGAGGGGACTCCTGGACAGCCTTATGGAGGAACAATGTCTGAATTTAACACTGTGCAAGACAATATGAAGAAACGGCGTCAGGAAGCTGCTTCTGTTCTGAAAGAAAATGAAGCTCTCTGCACTGTCACATCATTCCCAAGGTATGCTTCCATGTTTCTAGTAAGGCTTGGGAAAGCTATTTATTCAAGATGGCTGTGAATTAAGTGAGAGTAGTGTAACAGCTGTGTATTTTTTACTGATAAGGAGACAGGAATATTTTAATTTATGGTGCTATATTTTGTAATGTTCACAGTGCATTTTTCTTGCTGCACTGTTTAGCTGTTACTGGGCAAACATGTGCAATCTGATTACTTTGTATGGCCATAAGGGCTCCAATGTACACATGGAGCTCTACTGCTACAAATGTTACTGTGTTTGTTGCAGGCTGCAGATGGGGTCTGCTTGCACTCGCATGGGAGCTTTGGTTGTAATTGAGAGTGTACCCTGAGCTCTGTGTTTTGAATAAACCTCGGGTTGGATCCTGCAGTCAGTCAGTGGAAGGTGCTGATGGTGGTGGATCTTTCCTGTGATCCCCTCTGCCTAGCAGTCATTTTCAACTCTGGTAAAGCTTATTCCCAGGATTGCCTGCCCTATGAAGTCTAACAGTCATTTGTGCTGGGAAGCTGCATTGGGAAGCAGGAAGTTCCTTCTGCCTCTTCCATCAAGTGGAGCTGCACTGACAGAGGAAAGATGGAGGCCACCCCCCCCCACACACACTGTAGCTTCCCAACACAGGTGGCTGTTGGGCCATTCATGTCTCATGACCTTATGGTTAACCTGGAGTTGGAAAGGACTGCTTCAGGAACACAGAAAAAAATGTTACTTTGAATTGGTGTGGAATGCTGTAGCCAGGATGCTGACTAGAGTGCGTCATAGGGACCATATTACTCCTGTTTGGGCCCATATACACTGGCTCCCAATCTGTTTCTGGGCACAGTTCAAGGTCCTGATGTTTACCTTTAAAGCCCTCCATGACTTGGGTGTCCAGCATGCCTGAAGGGCTGTCTAGTCCCTTACTAACCTACCCGACGTCTACAGTAATCATCTGTGGCCCTACTTTGGGTGCATCAAAACTCTGTAGCTCTTTCCCTAGAGACTTGCCTGCCCCCTTCTGTTGCAGTCTTTGCCAGCAGGTGAGGACTTTTTTGTTTCACATGGCCTTCCTGCCCTATGTTTAAATAGTTGGTATTGTATGTGTATTTTAGCTTGCTTTTAATTTTTTTTAATTTGCATGTTTGTATTATATATGTTTTTGATCTGTTGGCCACCTTGATGGCAAAAAGGTAGGGTATAAAGTTTGTAAATAGATAAGAACCATGATCTTTTTGTTCGTGGATTGTGGGATCCAACCTTTGGTATTTATGTGGAAAACGTGTTCTCTAGAAGTGTTGCCAGCTAATGCTGGTATGGAGCAGCTCCTTACACCTTTAGAGCTGAAGTGGCTAAATACCTGTAGGATAAACAGCATCTGGGAGAAGGATAAAACACCATAAAATCAAAATGGGTTTTATTTCTTATTTTGTTTGGTCAGTTTGTTTGAAAAATAACTTAAACTGCAGCCTGCTCACTTATCAGAGACGTGTTTAATCTCAAATTGCAACAGGATCTGCTTCTAATTTATTTTTTTTAGTGAATTGGAAAAGGGACAGGGTTGTGGGAACCCAAAATTGCATAGCCAGGCCCCTAAGCTAATTTGGGAATTTAGCCACTTTGGTGGTCCTGATTGGGCAGAAAGGCAGGGTACAGATTTTGGAAATAAATTATGGCCCCGGTCACACGGAGCATTAGGCACGCTAGAGAGACGGAAGATAGGCAGATTTTCCGAGCGCGATCTCACCGCCACATCTGGGAAGCGTAGAGCTCCCGTGGCGCACCCAAGACTTCCCGCCAAAGATGCGGGGTAAAAAACTAGTACCTCAGAGGTACTAGTTTCCGGAAACCGCGGGGCAAGTGTCTGATCGCGTTTCCGGTGGTAGTTCCGGTGCCCGCCCATGTCCCCTCGCAAAAAGGGTTTTTTCCCCCAAGTCTCCACGGATGCGCACAAGCACCCAACGGAGCATGCACACATTTCAGTTTTATAAAAAATACAACACAACCTTAAAAATACAACACAACCCCGTTTGCCGCGCCGCTCCGCTTCTTTGCCGTGTCGTGTGATTGGCACCTACCCCCTAACCACGGGAGCTCGACAGGACCTCAACCCGACGCCTGATCGCGCAGTCGCGCGTTAGTTTGCTCCGGGGCAAACAGCCACACACACCCTCATTTTCCTGCCCGTGTGGCCGAGGCCAAAGTTGTTCATCTGTGTGAAGTAGCTATAAACATTTCTGCCATTTCCTTAATAGCTTCCATTTTTATTTCAACATTTCTAACAGTTTTAAGCATAATTAAAATAAGACTTTATTCCTGCCAGAATCTCAGTTGATAAATGAAGATATTTAAAAATAACACGCTGTATTTGAAACTTGCAGATTAGGATGTCCAGGATTTACGATACCAGAGAGCTACCCAACACCTGTTGAGGCGGGAGTATCTAAGTCTCTCTTCTTCCCAGATGAAGCCATTAACAAACATCCCAGATTTAGGTAAGTTTTTTTTAAAATGAGAAATTGTCATCATGCAGGGACGTTGCACAGTGACTTTGGTTTTTGGGCAAAACTCTATGGTTTGAGCCCAGTTTTACCATAGAGTTTGCCCAAAAACCAGATGGTCCCCGCGCAACGTTCCCATGTGACATCATCAGGTGACATCGCCCCCTCCCCACTCCCAGAAAAGTACTTTCCACCCCCACCGGCACCAGCAACTCTGCTTAGAGTTCCTCACACTCAGCCTTGGTTTTCACCATCCTGAATAACTTTGTGCCATTGGCAAACTTTGTGAACAGCTTGGTTGCATTTTCTGTGTCTGGTATAGACTGACCAGGAAGGTGAGACCCATGCTGTCTGCTGGCTGTCCACCACGCTTTCCCAAGTTTAAATTTAGCATAGATTTGTAGAATCACTTGATTTTTGTAATCAGTAAATTTGTCCAGTTGAGTTTTGTGCAGTGTGACCATCCCATTCATAAGAATAAGCAGGAGCATTTTTGGAATCATAGTAAATTATTACCACCACCATCAGTCTTGCCATCTTTTCCTGACATCTTGCTGCTCATTAGAATGACAGTCAATGTGCAGCTTTAGGCAAGTATCTTGATTATCTTAAAATGTTATAGGCACTTAGCAGTGCTTATATCAACATCATTTTAATGCTTTGGATATATTCCTTTAATGAATAAGGGATGCAGATATGGAGTAGTAAGGTGGGTATACTGGAAGTTCCTAAAACTATTTCACTATTTTACACATTGAGCACTTTGGAGCGCATCTGGATGTTTTCTGTTGAGAGAGTGTTTCAGAAGGCTTCTGTTCTGTTTCAGTACCTTAACAAGAAACATTCGGCACAGAAGAGGAGAAAAAGTAGTGATAAACGTACCAAGTAAGTGTGCAAACAATTTGCTTTCACAGAGTGGGAAAATAAATTTAGTAACAGTGTGTTCATGTTTTGTTAACTTTTTGTGTTTAGTATTTAAGGACAAGAATACTCCGTCACCATTCATAGAAACATTCCCTAATGATGATGGTGAAGCAGCAAGAGCAGCCAAGCCTGACCATGTATATATGGATGCCATGGGGTTTGGAATGGGCAATTGCTGCCTTCAGGTAAATTCACTAAAGTAGAAATTCTTGCTAACTTTTTTTGGTCGCGTTGTTTTGTATCATTTTAACTTCAGTCTTAGCAACCAAATATCTTTTAAAAGTCCATCATAGGATGTTACAAAGTTCTCTCCTGATCCCCCCCCCTCCGGTTATTTTAAAACTGATAAACTATGGCAGTATTATAACAAACACATATGTACTCACATTAATGTAAAAATAAGTGTTAAGAGTCTCGCTACGCCAAGAATTTCAGATAGTCAAACAGAAAAGCAATTTACTCTACATCCTAGAATCATGGAAAGATACGTTATAATTTAGGTTTGTCCTCTGTTCTCTCATCCCATAAATCTTTATACTTTTATGTTTTGTATATTAAATGTGTGCATACTGGCTTGTTTTCCCTTGGTTTCATTTTCATGCTAAAGCTGGCCCTCATCCTTTCATTTCCAGAGTGGCTCAGTTCAGATATCACACATCGAAACTTAGTTAAGGAATCCTGGTTTGGCATGATGTCAGAATTGACAGACCATAGTTACACCATTCCTTCATCTCTGAAGATCTTTGCACGTTAGGGAAAAAGTTTACTGAGCGCACAAGTAGTTCTAAACCATGATTTTGCCTGTATACTTGGAAACTCAAATAATGGTTAGTGCAAACCATGATTAGGGTGATGTACAAATTATGTGAGTCTAAGGGAATACTTCAGAGCCTTGGGAAGGAGAAAGAGGAGGGCTTGCAGTGTCTGCATTTCTTCATTTTTTTGGAGGATACTCTGTTTAGTGGCAAGCTAGGGCTGGGGGAGACATATAGTGAGAGAGGGTGTGAATAAGCCAGAAGGTTGTGCTTCCTTAGCCATTTTTTCATCCTGGTGACTAGTACCTCTGAAGTTAATCTGAGCACTGAACTGGTGGGGAGCTAAATCTGGGGGGAGAGGGAATATTTTAATCCCCCTTAGGGAAGTGTTTCTCAATGCACCTCTTGCATTATACCTTCCCAGCAGCATGGCAGGCAAGGTTGTGCTAATTGTTTTTGGGAAATGTGCTGGTTGGGAGCTAAGTCTGGGGGGAGGGGGAATGTTTTAATTCCCCTTAGGGAAGTGTTTCACAATGTGTCTCTTGCATTATACCTTCCCCAAAGCATGGCAGGCAAGGTTGTGCTAATTGTTTTTTGGGAAATGTGCTTTGGTTGGGTAGTCATTCCATTTTTGCAAAGTCAGTTCATAGAAGGACAGTCTTTAACACCGTAATCTTTGCAGCCCTGATGATTTTAATGTTCTTTTTACAGGTAACATTCCAAGCTTGCAGCATTTCTGAAGCAAGATACCTTTATGATCAGCTAGCTACCATCTGCCCCATTGTGGTGAGTAATATAATTTTATCCCAGTATCTCTATATTATTAGTAATATGTGGCCCCCATCTATGGATAACTAAATCTACAGCTCAGGGCCAAATGGATGCTAAACAGATTATTCTGCAAATTTGGGGGATGCCCCAAGTTTGCAGAAAAATCTGAAATGTTTACTGTCCTCCAAAGTAAAATAAAGAATAGTTAAAAATTAAGAGCTGTCGTCTGTGGATGTGCAGACAGCACACAGTGTTGGCTTCTGCAGTGGCTGGGAGCCCTGCAGCAGCTGCTACAGAGGCCTGGAGCCCAGCCTCAGTGGTGGCTGATACCAGGAGCCACTCTGGGCCCGGCCGCAGGAGCAGTGGGCACTGGCTGCCGCTTGGGGCCCAGCCGCAGCAGCATCACACACCAGGAGCCTCTCAGGGCTCTGAGCAGCTCCCAGACACCACTGTGGCCAGGCCCTGGGGTAAGTGGTTGGGCCTGGACATGCCAGCTCAGCAGTGGTGGGGGAGATGGGATTTCCCCCTGCGAATTTCAACCCCCCCCAACTGTACCTTTTATTGTACATACACACATGTGTGCTGAAGGCACCAGCATAAAATAGTCAATAACAAAGTACTGTGTGGAAAGTCATTTCTAAAGATAGAAAGTCCAGATTACCTTGGCCCTAAAACAATCATAGTAGATTTACTATTTGCTTACCAAAATTTAAGCAATACTTGGCGTTACGAATATAGAAGTGAATTTTTCTTTTAAAAAATACTAGTAGTAGAGTTAAGTGAAAGCATTTCCTTTCTGACGTGAATTTGCATTAAGACAGTGCACGTAAAATATTGTTCAGTTGACTTGCTACATAAAATGAAGACATGGTAGCTGGGATTAATTAGTGCACTGTTTCTGGCAATGTGTTTTCTTTGCTATTACTTCATAAAGAGTGGGAGAGCCCATGTCAGTTTAGGCATAGATAGGTGGGGTAGAGAGAATTAAATGTGATCTATAATGCAGATGGGTGTCTTAGCGACAAAGTGCCTCTACTAATGAGCATTAGTACATCTTCAAATCCATACAGTGAGACCAATGCTCCCTCTAAGCTGTGGAGTCTTGTGAGCAAAAATTCTACTTTGCAAGCTACTGACATTAAAGTTGTGAGCAAGCGATTTGGCTACTGCATAAATTAGTTTGCTCTGAAGCCATCCTTCCTCAGCTAAGACAAAAATGTGTGAGCCAGAGGCTAAAAAACTGTGAGCTAGCTCACACTAACTCAGCTTAGAGGGAACACTGAGTTATCAGCTGTGCTTTAACAGTGTTTGAGAGAAATGCTTGTACGTGGTGTGGAAGGTTAGAGAGGGATCTGATTCTATAGGACCACAGCTTCAACAGGGCCCTGCAGACAGCAAGAAACTTCCTTATTGGTTAATAACTTCTAGGTAAAGGCCAGCTGCCCTGACTTGGATAGCCTAGGCTAGCCCAGTCTGGTCATATCTTGGACGCTAAGCAGGTCAGTATTTGAAAGGGAGACCGCTAAGGAACCCCAAGGTCGTGACTCGGAGGCAGGCAATGGCAAACCATCTCTGAACATCTCTTGCCTGAAGAACTCTATGGGGTCGCCATAAGTCAGCTGTGACTTGATGGGGGGGGGGGGGAGATGATGACAACCAGCTAAACAGCTGTGCCTGAAGGGCCTGGAAAAACTTTTGGAGCTGCTCATAAAAACAGGAAAAGACTAGTTTTACACCCTGAGCGTCTGTTATTTAGCAGGAAACCACCATGGACTGCTATTATCTTTGCATGCATAGTTCCCCGCTCCATACTGAAGTACTTTGCATTGGCATACAGGGTTAAAAGGCACTTAACTTAATTCTTGAAGTAACTATGGTGGCTGTGTCAGACCTATATCTCCCTAGTACCACTCAGCAAATCAGAGTGCCTAGGTTAACTAGTCAGTCAGTACAATGTCTGGCTAATGCTCTGAGATATTCAAGAACAAGGATTGGGGTAGGCAACCCACAGCACCTGTGACAGAAGTGGCACACCAAACCATTTTGCCCAACACTCCGTTTCAAGTTCTCCACCCAAGTGCCCAGGGCACCGGCAGCACTGTTGAGGCCAGCAGCACAAGAGAAGGCAGTGGACATGGTGTATGCTTGTCCTCACCTCCCAAGCCCATACAGCTGCCTGCTGAGTCCAAGTCAGACTGGCTGCTCCATTGGGACTTGGCTTTCACCGAGTGTATCTAAACAAATGAAACCCTTGACAAACCCCCCCCCCCAATCTTCACAGGTAGATGTTGCATTTTTTCAGCACTTGGACAAAAAAAAAATTCCTCCCCCATATTAAACAACTGTGGGCTGCAGTACATCTCTAAGCTTCTGAGATAGAAAATCTCTTCACCATTCCTAGAAAACTGAGAGGGCTCTATTTTCATATTGGCTTGATGGGCACAAGAAGAGCATCTCCTGTTGCCCTTACATGAGCCTTGCAGACTCCACTTGAGGGTGGGCATATCACAGGACCCCAGCCTGAGAAACAGTAGTCCTAGTAAGAGATAGTTTGGTGGTGGTGACCTCATACAGACTTCATTGCTGTCTTTTTTTCTTCATGCAGCTTTGGATTTATATAATAGGGTGGTGAAAACTTGCTGTTTCATTTCTTGCATTGGTCTGTTTCAGATGGCTCTAAGTGCTGCTGCTCCATTCTACAGAGGCTATGTGACTGATATAGATTGCCGTTGGGGAGTAATATCTGCATCAGTAGATGATAGGACACAAGAGGAGAGGGGATTAGAGGTACGCGTACATTAACTCCTGGTGTCAAAAAAAGTCTGCATAGCAGTTAGCAGTCCATCCTTAATTATAAAGTTTAGATATTATGAAAAATTCACTTAGATCGCAAAACTTCTCAGTGCTTTGTCAAAATCAATATTAAAGCAGATATCAATGATACATATTGCTGTTACATATGTCCTGATAAGGTGATTTTACTTATACTCTTAGGACCTAAACTGGACGGTACATATTGGCAATATTACTATCTCCAATATATGTAATTGCTTCTGACACAAGACCAGACACATTTGTGGCCCCACAAAATTGTGTGTGTGTGTGTGTGTCATTCAATTCCAGATTGGAACATTCCTGTTTGGGTCCTAGAGAACAGTAACTTGCACGTTCTTTATCTTAGGAATCAATTTCTGTACCATTAGAGATAGGGCTGTGGGTCACTTATTATGCTTAAAGAGCAATTTATATAGATTTCCCAGAATTAGTGAATTTTCAGAAAGGAATCCTTGACATAACCCTTTTGTGGAGTCTGTTCTGTGTTAAATCAAATATAGAACAAATATACATGTTTTATTAACCTTGCATGAAATCATTAATGGTGTTCAGATAATTACATTTATGTTCTTTATATAATTTTTCTTGTTCTTTTTTGGGTAATATTTGGTATATGGACAGATTACATACGCTTAGAATGTACTACTGAAATCACATTTATAGCTTTTAGGCTCCGGTCACACGGGCAGGAAACTGTGGGGGGGAAGCGTGGCTGTTTGCCCCGGGGCAAACTAACGCACGGTTAAGGGATCAGACCTCCCCTGGAGGTCCCGTGGAGGTTCCGTGGGAAGGGAGAGGTGCTGATCACAGGACGATCCTGCGCGCAACAAAGAAGCGGGTGCGGCAAACGGGTGGGGTTTTTTTTGTCGTGTACACCATAAATGCGCATGCTCCATTGGGTGCTTGTGCGCATCCACGGAGACTTGGGAAAAAAAACCATGTTTGCAAGGGGACATGGGCGGGCGCCGGATGCCACCGGAAACGCGATCAGACGCCCGCCCTTGCCCCGCAGTTTCCAGAAACTAGTACCTCCGAGGTACTAGATTTTAGCAGCGCGGTTTCGGCGGGAAGCCTTGGTTGAGCCACGGAAGCGCTACGCTTCCCAGATGTGCCGGTGAGATTGCACCCGGAAACTCCGCCTGACTTCCATCTCTCTAGCGTGGCTAATGTTCCATGTGACCGCAGCCTTAATTGAACAGATGCATAATTATTCATGATAAGTAGTTCCTGTTGTCCAGTAACTTAAGCACTTTTTTTCTTCTGAAATTGTATAGCCATTGAAGAACAACCGTTACAGAATCAATAAATCCAGATACGATTCCATAGACAGTTACCTCTCTGAGTGTGGTGAAAAGTACAATGACATTGATTTGACAATAGATAAAGAAATCTATGACGACTTAGTCAGTGCAGGTAAGTATTTGAATCCATATGATAGTGATGCTGTGTTTTTGATTGACTTGGTTTCTTCCCGACTAGGACCTTTCCTTTAAGCATAGAAACCGAAAAGCTGGGACCTCAAGGATCATCGAGTCCCTCTCTCTCCACAATGCAGGAAATCCACAACTACCCCCCCCCCCATTCCCCCAGTAATCCCTGCTCTATGCCCAGAGGAAGGCAAAAAACTTCCAATTTGGCCCTGGGGGAAAATTCCTTCCTGACCCTAAAGTGGTGGTTAGCATTATCCTGGGCATGTAAGAAGGGATCACAAGAGCTGAGCACTGCTTTTCCCCCTCATGATCTGCCTGGATTCACAGAATCAGCATTGCTGTTAGATGGTGATTTAGCCTCTGTTTAAAACCCTCCAAAAAAGGAGAGCCCATCACCTCCTAAGGAAGCCTCCGCTCTAGCTGTCAGGATGTTCTTCCTTTAGCCAAAAACTCTTTTGATTTAATTTCAGTCCATTGGTTCGGGTCTGACCTTCTGGGGCAACAGAAAACAACTCCGCTCCATTCTGTATATGACTGCCCTTCAAATATTTGAAGATGGCTATCGTATCACTTCTCAGTCATCTCCTCTCCAGGCTCAATATATCCAGCTCCTTCAACCTTTCCTCATAGGACTTGGTCTCCAGACCCCTCACCATCTTAGTTGTTCCAGCTTGTCAGCATCCCTTGTAAACTGTGTTGCCCCAAACTAAACACAATACTCCAAGTGAGGTCTAACCAGAGCGGAGTAAAGTAATACCATCACTTGTGTGATCTGGATGCTATACTTCTCTTGAGGCAGCCCAAAATCGCATTTGCATTTTTAGGTACCGCATCACACTGCTGACCCCCTGTCCAGTGTATGATCTACTAAGATCCCTAGATCCTTCTCACAAGTACTACTGCCAAGACAAGTTTTTACCATCCTGTAATTATGCATTTAATCTTCTTAGACACAGAACTTTACACTTATCTCTGTTGAAATTCATTTTGTTGCAGCCCAGTTTTCCAGCCTGTCAGGATCATCCTGTGTCTTGATTCTGTCTTCTACTGTATTTGCTACCCCTCCCAATTTAGTGTCATCTGCAAATTTAATGAACATACCCTCTATTCCTTCATCCAAGTCATTTAGAAAAATGTCGAGCAACACAGGGCCCAGAACAGAGCTCTGAGGCCCTCCACTCGTCCCTCCTCTTGATGAGGAACCACTTGGGTGCAATCTGTCAAATCCACCTAATAGTAATAGGATCCGAAATTTCTACAGTAGTAGCTTCATTTGATCGACCTCATGATAATAGCTGTATTTGAAATATAACACTTTAGTGCTTTATGTACCAATTCACTCTCTGAATAAGCTGCTGCCTCTAGAAAAAAAATTGTAGTGAGGGTCTCTTGTTGAGTGGTAGAGAATCTGCTTGGTATGCAGAAAGTCCCAGGTTCAATCCCTGACATGTCCAGTTAAAAAAAAGAAGGAAGGTGTTAGGTGCTGTGAAAGATCTCTACCTGAGACCCTGCTGCCAGTCTGAATAGACAGTACTGACCTCGATGGACCAAGGGTCTGATTCAGTATAAGGCAGCTTACTACCAACTGGAAATACTTACTAAAAAAAGATATTCTGTGGTAGAGGACAGCAGCACCAATCAGGAAAGAGAGTTTCCTTTACATACCAAAATGTTCTATTTCATGTTTTTTTGCGGCAGGTGTTCCCCTTCTCCTCCAGACATGTTTGGTGAGGTAACTCCATGCAAATATGTATTTGCTTCTGTGGCTGCTTATGCTTTATCTTGGTATTTGGTGGGCTTGCTCTTTTTTAACATCGGCTTACATTCCAAACTTGTTGGTTTTATAGGCATAGACCATCTTTTGGCACAGCATATTGCTCACTTATTTATTCGAGATCCATTGACTTTATTTGAAGAGAAAATTCATCTGGATGATGCCAATGAATCTGATCATTTTGAGGTTGTATCCTAACCCAATTTATTTACTTTAAATTGCTTGCATATTTATGTTCAATGTGATTAACTGGAAGGTAGTGCAGTAAAAGAGAAGCCAAACATTTAGCTGTTTTCAAATGTACCGAGTAATTATTTAATGGAGCCTGTGATGCAGCAGTGACATTTCAGGTAAAACTGTGCTTGTGCTAGAAATGAATAAGGTGCTTTGTTATCTGTTTAAGGGAGGGGAATTCTGGCTTTAATTTCACATGGCTATTAGCAGAAGTTCAGAATGCACCCAAAACAAAGCACATGGATGATTAG